TCCTGATTTCTAATGAATTCTTCCTCCATGAGAAGGTAGTCTTTAATTCTCTCTAATTTCAGTAATTTTAGCCGGCACTGAGTGTGAGGTGTCACTGAAATTAAAATATAAAGTTTTATTATATGTGGAGCCTGAGGTTTGCAAGTAAGGAAAAAATACTAAGATTTTAAAATAAGCTTGTTTTTGTTGGAGAGAACTTCAGAAAAATTCAGTTCGGTAATCCTAAGTAAGCAGGTGCCAAATGGAAAGGGGAGTTTGGCTGTTATATAATCAAGTCTTTGAAAATGCGGAAGGGGCTTATAACCAAAGAGCTAGCCCCAAATCACATACACTGAATAGTTTGTATATTTAAAGAAGAAAAGAGATACCCAGGTCTGGTTTATTTTTTCCTATAGGTACTAATAAAAAGCTACATGTTGCTCAGTCAGTATACACTGTTGCATGCTGGCTGTATACATGCCCATCTATTTGTAGAATTCTAAAATATCAAGAATATTAACTCTTTATCACATATATGGCAAATATTTTTTCCACATATTATTTCTTTTGGCTTTGTTTCTAAGTCTCAGGCCAATATCATTTTTAGAGACAAATCTGTCCACCTTTTCTCTTATAGTTTCTGGGTTTTTCCACTTCAAAAACATTCTTCTTCCCTAACGTAAATTTCTGAATTTTCATTTATTTATTTTCACATGTATACCTGTAATCCATTTGGCAAGACCTGAGAATCTAATTTCATTTTCTTTGGACAAAAATTTTTGACATGTCCCTTATATTAAATAACTCATCCTATTCCCCACAGACCTGAAGTGGTACATTCAGTGTATATTAAATATCCATGTAACATGACTGTTTTTGAACTTCCTACTTTGTTCTGGTGGCCTGTCTCTTTCTGTACCAATACCATACTGATTCATTATGGTAGACTAATGGCTGGTTTTACTATCTGATACCCTTCAATTAACTGAACAACATTTTAAAAAGTGGTTTAAATTACTTCTTTTTCCTTCGAAGCAGGGAGGAGCATATTTAGATGAGGGTTTGGGGAGGTATTTGAGCTGAAGCCTGAGGGATGATGAGAAGCAGGCAGCCATGAGAAGAAAGAACATTTTAAGCAGGGGGATGAGTAAGGGCAAAGGCCCTAATACATACAAAAGTCAAAAAAACATAAGGCAGGCAGTGTGATCAATGAGCAAGGGGGAATGGCAGGGCTCAGGTCAGAGGTGTGCTGGGTCAGGTTACCTGGTTTGAATTTTATTCTATGTTCAGCAGGAAGCCATTGAAAAATTTTATTATAACTTCAGGCATTGCATGATCTGAATTTCAATACAGTGGCATTTCATTTCATGAAATAAATATGAACTTGAGTTAATAATGTTCAACCTGGGTTCTGTAATTTAAAACTATACTTTTATTTATTTATTTTTTATTTTATTTTGCGGCAGTCCCCCTCTGTCACCCAGGCTGGAGGGCAGTGGCACAATCTTGGCCCACTGCAACCTCTGCCTCCTGGGTTCAAGCGATTCTCCCGCCTTAGCCCCCCGGGTTAAAACTATACTTTTAATCCACTAGAAGAGCCAGTTAGAGAAAAACAGTGGCATTTCTTAAAGTGAGACACAGTCATATAATACCGTATTTTAAAACAAAAGTTAACCTGCATGTCAACCTAGAGGAATGCCACACTCAAGAGTTAGGTGGAACTGATTCACAAAGCCAGAGCTTCAGTTGCCCTTCTACTTCTTGTTTCCCCTTCCATGCTCTAAGCTACATGCACAGAGATGGTTCCTCCTAAGAACTGGAAAGATGGCAAGGAGGAGCCATGTCATTACCCAGTGGCAATTTGCTGGCAGCATCTGGTCCCTTTGTTTTCTTCTTCTTTTTCCCCACTCTAGTTGGTACAGGAGGTTCATATTTCTTTTTCTTGTCCTTGAGATTTTAGAACAGCAGAAAAAAAAATCACATGAAAATCACATTAAAACACAAATTTATTTCTGTACCACCATCATGTATTTTCAGGTGCCACAATTTTCCTCATCTTTTAGGATGTTATTAAAAACCTGACTTGTTTCACATTCCTGGAATTGTAATAAGTAAATATGATTATAATAAGTAAATGTAATCTTTTTACCATACACATTAAGTGACAATGAGTTGTATTATTCCAATAAGGTATAGAGGATTAAGAAGTTGTATTCCAAAAGTTTATGTAACCTGAACTTCACACCTCAGGACACCAAAATTATAGGCAATTTAACACTTCTGTAATGTCATTGCTTTTACATACTTAAATAACTCATAAATATCTATGTGATGGTTAGGTCAATAACCTTTTCTAAGCATGAAAAGCATATTTATTGTTATCTGTACGACAGGCTAGTTTAAAAACGACTGGATCATTCTGCTTTTTAAAATTCATGAATCCCCACAGAAGTTCTCGGCCGAGACCTATGATATTTCCCACACGTAGCTTCCATCACAGTACAAATGTGGCTTATTTACCTTGTCATCCTTCTTGCCACCTCCAGGACCATGACCACCACTCTGACTTTGACCCTTGGGGAGAAAAATCAGACACAGATGTAAATTCAGAATATGATCATTTCAAAAGAACGCCTTCATACTGTCCTGTGAGTCTATAACATGAACATTTCCCCCTCATTTTAACATTTCTGAACCCAAGATGTAATACTTGCAATCAATGTGTGCATTTAGTGTCACAGAATTTCTTTTTCCCTGGAAAGACGTTTAGATTACTGGTGCACCTGGCAATTGATTGCATCTTAGAATCAAGAACAACTCTACTGAGAAGTAGATATAACCAAAGAGGCCGAGAGTCTTAAGATCACCCCCTCTTGAGGGGAAAATAAGGAGCTTCACTCTAGTTACCCAGGCTGGAGTGCCATGGCACGATCTCGGCTCACTACAACCTCCGCCTCCCGGGTTCAAGCAATTCTCCTGCCTCAGCCTCCCGAGTAGCTGGGATTACAGGCAAGCGCCACCATGCCTAATTTTGTATTTTTAGTAGAGACAGGGTTTCTCCATGTTGGTCGGGCTGGTCTTGAACTCCCAACCTCAGGCAATCCGTCCACCTCGGCCTCCCAAAGTGCTGGGATTACATGTGTGAGCCACCAAGCCTGGCCGCTTCACATTTTTTGATAGAAAACTACCAGACTGAAGCCATCAAGAATATATTCCATAAAATACATAGCTATAAAAGCTAAGTCATTTTACACACTCAAAAATCATCAACCATTTACCCCTTACTTAGATAACACCAAGATCCAGAAGACTTTCCTTCCAATAGCACTTTAATTCCTACCCCTAAAGCCTGGGGGCTTTCGTGCAGGTCTTCTCAATCTGAAAAGCTGTATCACCTTAAAAGAGGTGCTTCACTCTTGTTGCCCAGGCTGGAGTGCAATGGCACAATCATTAAGGTGTGAAGAACTTACTGTATTAATAAACTCAGTAGGATTCCTGATTTTGAGAGACCCTTCAGTTACAGCGCAATGCGTAACACTGCAATGTCTCAGAAATAGTGACATTTCAAATATGAAGATAAATAAACTTACTAATTAGAAGGGCCCACTTAGCTTCCTCAAATCAGCTCCACACAGGCTCCTCTAAATTAATACACCAACAGTTCTTCATCTATTAGGCATTTTACATGTTTCTCAATCTCAAATAACAAGTACACCAATTACTGAGCCCCTCCTATATGCCAAGCAGTGTCCTAAACGTTCTCCAAGTATTATCCCACTTAATTCTCACAAACACCATGACATTGGTACTATCATTACGCCCTCATTTGCAGATAAGAAGACCAAGGTCCAGAGAGGTTAAATGACTTGCCTGTTGTCACACAGCCTGTAAGAGACAGAGCCACGAATCAAAACTCGGGTTTGCTGGTTGCCACAACCTGGGCGTTTCTCTACTGCCCTAGAAGAAACTGATGGGGTCTGTGATCCAGCACAGCCACTTACTGTGTTCCCGAATTTCTTCCTTATCAAAATGAGGACAATAGTAATTACCTCGAGGGAACTGTTGTAATAAATGAGAAAATGCTGGAAAAATACTTGGCACATGCTTAGAATACTACCCTGAAACCCTTATAACACCTCTATGAGATCTGGCCTTCTTGCTGTTCATGATAACAGGTTGAACATTCCCATCCCAGGTCCTTTGCACTTGCTGTATCTTCCGCCTGGACCACGTTTCCCTCAGACATCTGCAAAGGTTACTCCTTCAATTTCAGTCTGCTCAAATTTCACCTCCTCAGAGCAACCTTCATGGACACTATCAAAAACAGTAACCCCTCCATGCTATCCCTTTCTATACAATAACCATACAACGATGACTACTCAACACCTGACATCATATTAAATATTTCTGATTATTGTCTGCCTCCTGCTCTAGAATGCAAGCACCATGAAGGCAGGGACTTCATCAATCCTGCTCACTCCCTGTATCCTCAGTGTCTAGAACAGAAGCTAGTCAAAAGTTAAACCAATAACAAAACATCAAGTGCTAAGTAAATGCTTGTTTAGTGAATTGATGAATAAATGCTAGCTGTTTTTATTTTTACTACTGCATCACGGGCCCTTTCTGTCTGTGCTCCGCCTATCATAACAAGCGTCACTAAGGCCTCCTCCAAATGCCCCCAGCTCGAAAGGCCTTCCACGACTCCGCTCTCCCCTCTTCAGGTGGAATGAATCCCATCCTCTTCTCCAGCACCCTTCACCTGCCCGACTTGTCCCGGTGACTCGAGGAAGCGCCCCGGAAATTCCCAGCGCCGATCAGCAAAGCCCTGGTCCGCGGAGCAGCAAAGCCCTGGTCCGCGGAGCAGCAAAGCCCTGGTCCGCGGAGCAGCAAAGCCCTGGGTCCGAGGAGCAGCAAAGCCCTGGGTCCGAGGAGCAGCAAAGCCAGCGACCTGACTCGTCCTGCCGCCTCACAGGACCACGCGGGGAACCCTCTCTCTGCGCCAAGCCCCGGACCCAGGACCCCCGGGCAAGGCCCGCAGGTCGGCCCCGGCCCGCGGTGGACCTGAGCATCAGGGAGCTCTCTCCGGGAGCATCCACGCGCCGAGAAGACCAGGCCGGCAGAAGAAGAGAGCAGTCCGAGTTTCTCGGACAGCCGCCTAGTTCTCTCGCCTCAGGCCGCTGGGACCCCATCGCACCACGACCACCAGTGGAAAGAAACCCTTAGTCACTCACCATCTTGCCTTGGCCACTGGAGCTGCCGCTGCCGGAAGTTCTTCCACCTTTGTGGCCCGCCAGAAGCGGAAGTCGTTAGGGACGCTACGGAAGCCGATAGGAACCAAATTCTGCGATGACCAAATTGCGCCTCAAGGGCTTGTGCAGGCGGACTGGGGGCAACGCAGTAATTTATAAGCATGATGTGAACTTTATAAATATTTTACTTGAAAGTAATTTTGAATACCCCTTATGAGGCGGTTGTCAACAACTTAAGACAATGGCCCCGACTGTCAAAGAACTAGGACAATCGTGAAAATATAAAATATTTAATTAGGCAAAATTTATAACTGGTAAGAACTTTATTGTTCTAAAAACTGGGATGACATTTGGAACTGGGAGGTTGACATATACATTTGCACAAATATGTCAGTTATTATTCAGCTTCTGAAATTAACCCTCACAGCTGGGAGTATTTGTGTGTGTAATGAGTCATCTAAACCTGTCTTTTTTGATGACCTGTGAATTGTGATGATACCAAGTGTCTTAAATTCCTCATCTTGAAGCTGGTTGATAAAAGTTCATCATTTGTTACATCCTCCAGGACATCAGAAAAATGGCAAGCATCCCTTCTGTTTCTGAAAATTCCATTAACAAGTGCTCAAAATGCTGCATCTTGCTGAACTGGAGAGATGGATTTTTTTCCTGCTCCAGATTAATTTAGGCATTTTAGTTGTGAAATACTAGAAATATTTCCCTTATGAACACACAACAGGTACACTTCTTCCCTTTCATCCTCACTAGAACACAGTAATAGAAAGTCTTAGCACTGTCTGGCAGGGCACGGTGACTCATGCCTGTAATCCCAGCACTTTGGGAGGCCAAGGCAAGTGGATCACCTGAGGTCAGGAGTTTGAAACCAGCCTGGCCAACATGGTGAAACCCCATCTCTACTAAAAATACAAAAAATTAGTCAGGCGTGGTGGTGCTTGCCTGTAATCCCAGCTACTCGGGAGGCTGAGGCAGGAGAATTTCTTGAACCTGGGAGGTGGAGGTTGCAGTGAGCTGAGATCGCACCATGGCACTCCAGCCAGGGCAATAAGAGTGAAACTCCATCTAAAAAAGAAAGGAAGTCTTAACACTGTCGACCTCTATTAACAAATCGGGCATGTAGTGTACATGAGACATGAAGTCACACGATAGGATGGGGCAAGATGACTATCCCTTCACACATGCTGAAAGCAATGCCAGGCCAGCATCATGTGGAAGGTTTAGGCAATCTGTGTATAACCTGAGAATGTATGGGGTTCCTGAGATGGTGACATATGCAAAGAAATACAGGCTGATGACTGAAACTTAAGACTTTAGTTCTGGAGGAGGACATGCTAATGGAGGATAATGCACAGCAACTCTGTTCCTCTCTCTCTCTCTCTCTCTCCCCCCCTCTCCCTCTCCCTCTCCCTCTCGCGCTCGCTCGTGCTCTCCTGCTCGCACTCGCGCTCTCTCTCTCTCTCTCTCTCTCTCTCTCTCTCTCTCTCTCTCTCTCTCACATAAGACAGAGTCTCATTGCCCAGGCTGGAGTGCAGTGGCATGATCTCAGCTCACTGCAACCTCTGCCTCCTGGGTTCAAGTGATTCTCCTGCCTCAGCCTCTCAAGTACCTGGAATTACAGGCACCCACCACCACACCCGGCTAATTTTTTGTATTTATAGTAGAGATGAGGGTTCACCATGTTGGCTAGGCTGGTCTTGAGCTCTTGACCTCAAGTGACCTGCTGAGCCTCCCAAAGTGCTGGGATTACAGGTATGAGCCACCACGTCCAGCCCCTGTTCATCTCTTTTGCCCCTATGACTGACTCTCTCAATCCTCCACCCCTCGTTGACAGCCATCTCTGCGATTCTCCCTCTTTTCCACTTGCAACTTCCAACCTCCCCAAATGCTGAGTGCTCCAAGCAGTCTTTCTAATCCTCTCCCTGCTTTCTCTTAGCTGCCCATTATGTAGATAAACGTAACTTTTCTGCTTACTTTAGTTTTATCTACATTTTGCCTATTTCTTGTATTCCCCTGAGAGAGGGAACATAGGAACTGACAGAATCAGGGAGTATCCTTCTACCTTAGAAAGGGGAAGTGGGGCTAGAGAGACAGTGGAAGATGAGAGTCACGTTACTTTTGTCTTTCTTATTGTGAAAATAATCATGGATTTTTTTCTCATTTGCATAGCCTTCATTTGGAATATGCAGGAATTTAAACACAGCATCAAATTTCATACTTTGTCAATAATGCATGCGTTTGTAAGTGTATGGAGTTGTGTACATAATAACACATATGCTTGTGTTTGAGGGTGTGTGCATCTGTTTCCCTCTGTGTTCCCCTGCAGTCCCACTGTTACGCATAATTTTACATGGTTGTCCTACAGATATCTAACACTGAACTTAGCATCTTCCTTTAGGTGCACCTTCACATGTGTTCTGTCCTGGTTGAAGACACCATTCTGAAACCCAACGGAGAAGCCTTCCCATCTCCCTCACTCATCCCCAGCCAGCTCAGTAGTCAAGTCTTGTCACTTGATCTCTGCTATATTTCAACATCCATCTCTCCTATTGATGCCTGGT